AAAGCAATTGCTCTTTATGTGATGATTTTGTAGAGCCTGACTCTTGCTAGTGTAAATCAGGAGGAACCCCCAGCAACTCCAACCAAGTGATCTCAGTGCAAAAATTTTGGGAGGCACAGCAGAATCAGGAGTGCTCAGTTTGCAACCTTCTTCTCCAAATTCTGCAACAATTGCCCCATGCTGGAATGGCAAGTACGTATCAGATGAAAACACAAAACAATGACAACAGTGCATTTCTCAGTAGCCACATCATATTATGTCATTGATGTCAGGTTGAGTTATATTAGTCTGCTTTTCATTATGTTGTGTTATGCCTTTTGACATTATGCAACACACTGTAAGTAACATAAAGTGACCTCCAAGTATAAAAGAGTACACAGTTTTTGTCAGATTAGATAGTGGCTATGAATTCTCAGAGAGGGAGGGGTAGCTCAGAGAAGGGGGTTTGCATTTACTGTCCTGAACAACAAATGCACAGAACTTAATTAACAGTTACAGCAGCCCTGGCTGTTTCCAAAACAGTGTTTGTGTCTCTGCTCAATGGAGAGAGGAGATTCACAGTGGGATTTGCACTTTTTAATTTATCTAAAATTCTGCAGAGGTGTCTGTAATAGCTTCTTCTCTGTACCTGTACTGCAGGAGCTCTGTACACAGTGAACATAAGGCTCACTGGCCTGAGATTTGCTTTGTTGCCAGGCTCCAAAATTCAGTATTGAGACCAGACTTCCTGAGCAGCATGGGGCAACCTGTCCTCTGTATGAAGAATTTCGTCAGCTACTGAGAGAACAACTGTAAGGGGAAAAGAAAAGGGCATCATCATGGCTCCTAAAAGAACAGGAACCTCTGATAAATTTAAGCTGATTAAGGAAAAATGGGTGGTTCAAGTTGCTAATTTTCTCTGGAGAGCTTGAAATCCACCCTCGCTTGGTGGTTCTGCTGGAATTAGCTGATGTTCTCCCTTTAGTACTTCGTTTATACTCCTGACCCAGAGTCTGCTCAGCTCCAGGGCTTGCCCAGAACCTGGAGTCCTGTGGTGTGAAGGAATGGAGCTCTCCTAAAGGTCAGGGCATTGTCCCCAGCTATTGGCAGGATGTTCCCAAGCCTGATTAACTGCCATGGGTGTTCTTTTGAAGGCATCCCCTCAAAGGCAGGCCAGGAGACTCTCTGTGGGCAGGAGCACAGTCATGTTGTGGTATAAAGTTGGTCTCAAAACCAAAAGTTGGTCTCAAAACTGCAATAACCTGTAATAGCCCAATACTTCCAGAAGTACTTGCCACACATTTCCTGCATTAGTAGATTTTTTTCTGGCTGTAAAAAAAGGCCACATCCCATTTGGCACTGCTTCTGGCATCCCATCTCCCCACAAGGATTGTCCCCAAGACCTGTCATCTGCCTTTTTAGATCCTGAATGTTGTACAGATCAGAAACGTTCTCATGATCAGTCTCAAAGCAGGAAATTGCAAAGGCACCATAAAACGTTTGATGTGGGCTTCCTGAGCAGTAATAGATGTGGAACCTCACTTTAAAAGGTCTTTTAAGATTAAAATTTAACATTACTAACAGGAATAAAGTGTAACATTTTGTGTGAAAACGCTGCGCAGGTGAGCACTTAAAACAGCACAGGAAACCAGAATCCAATGTGTCATGTGCATTTTTTTTTTTATAATTTCTCCATCTATAAATCTGGCATAAATTATTATCTACCTAATTTCCAGGTGCACAACATTCCTTTAAGGTGTGTATGGGATGCTGCCCTTGTTCATTAGGCCATTAAATATCAGAGAATGAGCAGTTGCCTCTCCTGAGCAGTGTGCAATAAAGCAGCTCCTTTTCCACGCTGCCAAGAGACCTGTGCAATCAGACCCCTGTGACACCGACACCCACAGGGCTCTGCAGGGCTGCACAGCTCTGCCTTGAAGTATCATTTCATGACATCAGAGAGTCCAGAATTAAACATGAAACGTTCTGCTAATCCTTGTTAAGTTGACAAAGAAAGCTGTTACCCTGTAGTTGATCAGCTCCTAAAGAAAATGTTCCCCTTGGTAGGACATCAGACTGTGCTCGTGGCCAGACACAGAGACTCGGCCCTGGAAATTCTCACTGAGATTTGCAGCCAGACTGCATCTCAGGAGACTTCCTATTATTATTTTCTTTACTAATAAATCATTATGTTGTCTCCTTCACAGCACAGAGAGTTCAAATAAACCTGTCCCTGTGACAATCTGATTTTCTGAAGGAGTGTCCTGTTCTGTTGAGTCATGTGAGAGGAAAATACAAAGAAGTAGAAAGACAGATCAAAAAGGGGTAGCAGAAAGGGCCCTGGAGGCAGACTTAAGTTTGGTATTTAATATTTCAGGTAAAATATTCACTTAGCATCAATTATCTTGTTGGGCTCTTTTTTTATTTTTTTTTTTCCAAATGAAATTGCTTTCTGAATCAGCCAGCTCTCTAATTACTAGATTGAATGATTGAAATTTTTAGGGCAATTAAATTCAAGCCTTTCTTTTTCAGTCCTTATGTTATTCCCCCCTTCTCTCCCTCCCCTCTCCAGTCTGGAGCCTTTCTATAATTTGGAGGCAGTTGCAGAAGCAAGCAGACCTTTAAAGCCAAGATGTATGTCTCCCTTAATTCCTCTGTGGATTTGTTTCACAGACTAAGCAGAGAGGGTTCTGGTCTCCCAGGACATGTGCATTACAAACACACTGCATGGTGTGGGTTTTATCCCAATGTGTCATGTCATTTGAAAACAGCTTGGAAGGATTCATTTAATATAGAAATTCTGTGAAAAGATAGAGATCAATGCAGAAAATACAGGTACTATTGGAAAATGCCTGCAGATCAAGCTACAAGACTAAGGAGCAAATTGATAATAACAATGGTGATTGATGGTATACTAGATAAGAGAAAACAAAACTCCCAATAAAACAATACAAAAGTCTGTTAACAGAGCTGCTAGGAGAAAACCATGAAATGGCTGGTGAAAGGATGAGGATTCTTCCAAGAATGGACACAAAATTTACAGGTTGGAATCCCAGACCCAGGTGACAAAGCTGCTGCTCATTTGTCTTTATTGTTGGAATTAGGGCATTAATCCTGCAGAATGAGTAACCACATTCTCACATGAAGGTTTGTGAGCTGTTCTGTGGATTTCAGTGGGACTATTCCTCCCTAAAAGTTAAGTGGATTCTTAACAGCTTTGATGAATCAGGATCTAACCCAGTGAACATGACACATCTGTATCACAATGAACCTTGGAAATCGTGTAGGATTTCCCTCAGAAACCTCACTCTGAGTTTTTCAGGTTTCCAGACCCAGCCTAGGACACAAACCTGGGGCTGCTCTCCAGCAGACTCTTCCAGGCAGAGGGACTGAGGGATTTCTTTTCATGCTCTGTTACACCGGGGATTGGTATAATGTGACTAAACCAGAACAATGAACACCAGGCTACCTTCCAACGTGCATCCACAGCCATTTCACTAAAGCCAGATGAGCTGTATTATGCCTGTTTATTACTTAATTATCCCTGTAGGTGTTTGAGGTGCCCCACAACAGCTAAAGCAGTCCTTGCCCTGAAGAGCATGCAGTCAGATCTAAGATTAGAGATGACAGCACTGCAAGGGGCTGGACCTGGAGAAAGAACAAGGTTCTTGTTCAACCAGAAACTTGAATGCACATCTGTCTCAAAGTTCAGTTAATTGATTGAGCACTGCTGTGACTCAGGGCTGGGATGACTGATGGAGAGAAGAATTTCAGATGCAGGTTCCTGAAAAACCTGCTGTTTCTGCTGAATTGAATGTTCTGATGTTCTTGTATGGATACTCTGAGAGACACAGAGATCAGACCTTTAGGAACCATGATTTCATGTCAGTGGAATTTTGCAATTTCATAGTGGTTAATGTTTTGGCTCATTGCAGCAATTCCAATGGGATGGAATGTGTATTAATGTCCATGAGCATTCCCTGGGAGACACAGCCCCTGTGGCTCCTACGCTGCCTCCTGTCCCCTTCCTGCTCCCACTGCCACATTCATGACCACACACCTCTTCTTTCATGCTTTGAAATCCATGACCCTCCACCACTTTGCATTATTTTGGGATACGGCCCCCTCTTGTATTTGTGCGGTTCCCAGACAGAGGAAGGAATGATGAATCTGACTCCATGTTCTTAGAAGGCTAATAAATTATTTTATGATACTATACTATATTAAAGAATATATATAGTACATATATAATATATACTATATATTTAGTATAGTATATATAATATATACTATACTATACTATACTATACTAAAGAATACACAAAATATACTTAGAGAAGGTTAGAAGATACTAATGCAAAACTCATGACTCTTTCCAGAGCCTCAACACAGCTTGGCACTGATTGGCCAATAAGTGAAAACACTCACACCAAAAAACAGTGAAACAATCACCTGTTGGTAAACAATCTCCAAACACATTCCAAAGCAGCAAAACACAGGAGAAGCAAATGAGATAATATGGTTTTCCTTTTTCTCTGAGGCTTCTCAGCTTCCCAGGAGAAGAATCCTGGGCAAGGGGATTTTTCCAGAAAAAAATGACAGTAACAGCCCCAAACTTCAGGCATGTTTATAGGTTCAGGGAAAAGAGACCTGACCTGAGTCACTTTATTGCCATCTGCAGAGAGGTGCTTTTCCACCCTCCAGGCATAGATGCAGTTCTGCAGAGCCTCAGATGCTTTGCTGGAGCTCTGAATGCCTGCACCAGGCTCTGGGGCTACTGAAGTGGCCAGGATTTATTGCTGGTTTCCCCAGCATTTTCTCAAGGATTGTGTTTCCCTTCCTGCTTTTTCAAAATGCCATGTCCACTTAAAATCTTCCAGTGCATGCCCTGTGTTCATTATTTAGCAGTACATGGGAAAACCCCTTCAGCTCAAGCTTGCTGTGAGTGCTGTACAATTGTATCCCAACTGCCTCCTCTACTTATCTGCTGCAGTATTTCTGTGAAAGCAAAAGCTGTGCGTGGAACAGATGCTTGGAATGGTATTGGGATCCAATTACTGCACTTTTCCAACCTTACATCTATTGTCTAAACTTGGAGCAGGCATATTTTTATTCCTTGGTGACACTATATAAAGAGACAATTGGCATTGTGTTTGTTGGCTGACTGGTTGGCAGAGCAGGGGTGGAAGGAGCAGCAGCACCATGGTAGGTTTTATCCTTCCCCATGTCTTTATCTCTGTATTTCTTTCTGACTCTTATGATTCCAACAGAGCAGGAATGATCACACAGCATCCCATGAAATCTCATTGTAGTATCACATTCAGAATGCTGATATACCCCATAGAGTGAGTTGGGAACTCCCAAGGACTGCTCTGCGTGTATTTCACAAAGGAGGAAGGCACAGAATATAGATGGCATTGCAGAAAGGAAGAGCTTGTGCAGCTCTGTCCCACATTCACACTCCTGGCATGGCTGGTGTGAGATAGAATTAATGTCTGCTGTGGTGTGATGGGGACTGAGGGAAAGGGATTTCTCTGGAACTGGGTCTGTGCTGCTCTTGTGGCCCTGAGGAGAAGTAGGAAGCTCTGCAGAAATTTCTGTGTCTTGTCTTTGCCCTGCTCACTGTTGGTTTTTAGCACTGGGACTCCACCAGCCGCCTCACTTGATGTGACTCCAAGGAGCAAAGAACTCCTGCCTAAGGAACTGTGGGCAGACCTTTGTCTCCTGCAAATTCAGAGGAATGACTACAACAGTATTAGGAAAAAAAAAAAGAGCAGGTGATTTTGTCTCTGTTTATTTTGCTCCTTTTTGCAGGTCCTTTTCAGGCTGCCTAAAAGCAAACGCTGCCCCGTGGCTCCCTAGGGCTATGGAATATTTCATTGTGGAGAACACCAGAGAGGGAGTTGTATATGAAAAGCTTTCTCAAAGCTTAGTTCAAACTTGATCCTATTTAAGCAGGTGATGAATGTGATCCACGTGTTGTTCTGAGCACAGCAAAACCACATTCAATGGCATTTCTAAAATGCATGCACAAAACAAGTTCCAGTTTTAGCCAGTGCCAGCCCAGTGTCAGTGGTTTCACATTAATCATGTTCCTCACCAGTATTTCAGAACGGACCTTGTGCTGATTATGCCTCTACAGGTGTGGATTTACAGCTTTCCCTTTAATCAGCCTCAGTAAAGTCCAAACCAGCCCTTTTTTGGGTGGGGGACAAGTGCTGGGTCTTATCTTTTCTTTTTCCCCTTTTTTATTTTTTTTTCCCAAGATTTCACTTATCAGTTTTTTCCCTGCCTGCTTAGTTCAATGACACACCAACACTCATTGATGTTTGAAGATATTCCAGGACATTCTGTGATGAAATGCTTAAGTTAGGAGACGTGAAAATATAGTGAGAGACTCGTCTGTCTCCTCGCTCCCAGCTCAACTGACGATGCTCTGTGGTGGTTCTTTTCATTGTGCCTTTTGTTTTGGGAAAATCTCTTCTGAGGTACCTTACTATACAGGGACACATGAAACAGATTTAAAATGGAAAGAAAAAAATAGCCTTAATGAAAGAAAGCTGAAGAATATCTTTACATAAGGAAGTGATCATTTTTTATTAATCAGAGGGAAATGTATATGTAATTATGCTAGATGAACTCTGTGGGGAGGTTTTTTTCTCTCTTTATGATGTCTTAAGGGATTTATAAATATTACAGAGGTTTTATAGCATCATAATATTTCAGATGTGCAGTAAAGCTACTTTCAAAGGATTAGTGCAGACAAAGCAGCATAGTAAAAAATAATTACAAGTCAGCCAGTGCTACTAGGCTCTGACATCCAGGGCTGATGACAGTGAGAGAGGCAGGGTTCAGGGAGATAATTTTTCTAACAAGAGCAGACCACACAAGTGCTGTGGAATGGAGTTCTGAGAACTGTCTATGGCTCTCTGTTAATTCCAGGGAGTTTCAGACGAGCTGGGTCTGTGATGTCTCCCTGCTCTGTGCTGGTGGGCAGCAGGAAGGGCAGCGGCACAAGGAGGGAGAGGGAAGCCTTTTTCTTTTTCCCCAAACATCCCCAGTTTCGCTCAAGGTGTTCGCTCAGTTCGAGTGACACCTTGTAGCACATTTCTGTTTGCTGAGGGGAGCAGTGTGCCCAAAAACAGCCTGCACCCTGCTCAGATGTGCTCTGCAGGCTGGAATGTGCCACCTGCACTGAGAGGGCACCGACCGCAGCACGGCCACGGTGACTGACCTGGCAGCTGGAACGGGGCTGCTGGTGGCACTGCTGCCATGGCTGTG